TGTGTGTGTGTGTGTGTGTGTGTGTGTGTGTGTGTGTGTGTACTGGGTCGACCTGGGTACTGCCCCTGAGCTTTTGTACTCAAGGCTAGCGTAGCCCTCTACTACTTGAGCCATGCGTCTACTTGTGGCTTTTTGCTGCTTAAGTGGAGATAAGACTCTCTTGGATTTGTCTGTTTGAACTGGTTTTAAACCTTAATACTCAGATCTTGGTAGCTGGTATTACAGGTGTGAACTATTGAGCCCCGCTCTATTTGCTCTTTCATCAGCTCTTCCCTGTACTCCTAAAGACTACTGCAACTGTCTCACTTTATTTTTCAGTACTACCACTTACTTGATGAATGTAACACAAAACCTCACTCCACAACTTATTCCTAAAAAAACTAAACCACCGCATAAATAACTGAGGAGCTTATATAATAAACACAGAGGAAGAGAAGATAAATTAACAAGCAAAATGTACTCTTGACGTAGAAGCCTTGAAAATAGCCCTATGACCAAAAAAATTTGGTGCTGAGAGCAAAATTTGCTCAAGGATCTAACAAAAAATAGGGTTAGGGTTAAGGGACAGGGCAATCAAAATGAACAGTAAAAATATGAAGCATTAGGTAATGAATTCAGAAAGTAAAGGAAGAACTGGGCACCAGATAGCTCATGCCTATAATCCTAGCTACTCAGGAGGCCGAGATCTGAGGACTGTGGTTCATAGCTAGCCTGGGCAGAAAAGTCCCAGAGAGACTCTTACCTTCAATCAACTACTCAAAAACCAGAAGTGGAGGTGAGGCTCAAAGTGGTGGAGTGCTAGCCTTGAGCCAAAAAGGGCTTAGGGGACTGTACTCAGGCACTGAGTTTATGCCCCACAACAACAATAATAACAACAACAACAACAAAAGGGAAAGAAGATAAGCCATGAAGGAACTTGTGGCTAACACCTGTAATCCTTAATCCTAGCTACTTTGGTTCAAAGCCAGTCTGGACAGGCAAATCCCTGACACTTTTATTCCAATTATTCAGCAAAAAGCCAGAAGTGGAGATGTGGGTCAAGTGGTAGAGGGACAGCATTGAATGAAAAAGCTAATAGAGTTTGAGGCCCTGAGTTCAAGTCCTAGACAGTTGTGGCACTGCATAAAAAAGGCACACAGAAGGAAGGTGGGGGGAGGGGCGGGGGGCAGAGGGACAAATGAGATTGCACATTGCTTCCCACACTCTGTCTCTCTTGGATCCACCTTTCCTGACAGCTCAGTTGTAGGCACAAGGTGAGGCAGGTTACCAGCTCAGCAGCTATTGCTAAATTCTTTTATATTCAGTACTGTGTTTCAGGTGATTTGCTTGGGTCTGGGCATGGAGCTCAGTGGTAGAGTACTTACTTGCCTGAGCACTTGCAAGACCCAGGTTGATCCCCAGTCATACAAAAATGAAATACAAAGTAACATAAAATAAAACAAAATTTGGGCTGGGAAGGTGGCTCAGTGGTAGAGTGCTTGCCTTGCATGCATGAGGCCCTTGGTTCGATTCCTCAGCACCACATAAGCAGAAAAAGCCGGAAGTAGGGCTGAGGCTCAAGTGGTAGAGCTCTAGTCTACAGCTGAAGAGCTGAGGGACAGCGCCCAGGCCCAGAGTTCAGGCCCCACAACTGACAAAAAAAATAAAAAAATAAAAATTTCTTAAGGTCTACCAAAGAGTTTCCAGATCTTAAAGAACAAAAGTTATCTTGTGCCTTTCTCTTAGAGTGGCAAGCATTATGTATAGGGTGTGGGTTGCTGAATCAACAGACCTAGGCTTTAATTCTAGTCTCACTACTTTCTAGCTTTGTGATATTGGCATAAATGGTTTACCCTCTCTGACCTTTTTTTATATGATAAGTAAAATATAAAGTTTATATACATGGATACTTATAATGACTAATGAGCTGATGTGTTTGGCAGGAAAGGTATATTTCTAATCACAAAAAAGTGATTAGAAAGAATAGCAATTACTTTAAATATAGAAATGATAATTATTTTCAAGTTTTCTGACTGATACTTGTAATGGGTGGAAGCTGCTTTAATTAAGACACTGATCAAGAATTCAATGTACTTGGCCTGGAAATGTGACCTAGTGGTAGAGCGCTTGCTTGCATGCATGAGGCCCTGGGTTCAATTCCTCAGTACCACATAAGCAGAAAAAGCCAGAAGTAGTGCTGTGGCACAAGTGGTAGAGCGCTAGCCTTGAACTGAAGAGCTGAGGGACAGTGCCCAGCCCAGAGTTCAGGCCCCACAACTGACCAAAAAAAAAAAAAATTCAATGTACTATATCCTACCAAATAGAGAAAAGTGAGGGAAGGAGTGGGTCAGATGGGATGAATGAGAATTTTGAAAAGGATAACATTGATCAAGATCCACTGTATTCATCAATTCCTTTGCTGAATGGCAACTCCTTTGTATAACTACTTAAAGATAATAAGTGGCAGGGGGGAGAACAATACATACATAAAATAAAATCACCAAAAATAAAGACTCTGAAAGCTCAACCCATAATGTATACTACACTAGAACTCTTTCCTTTAAGTTCACAGACTGCCTCCTCAAACCACATATACTTGATATCACTGCAACTTTATTTTGTCACTTGTAGGGCTTGAAATCTGGGCCTGGGTGCTGTCCCTCAGCTCTTCAGCTCAAGGCAAGTGCTCGACCACTTGAGCCATAGTACCACTTCTGGTTTTCTGGTGGTTAATGGGAGATTAGAATCTCATGGGCCTGGGCTGGCTTTGAACCATGATCCTCACATTTCAGCCTCCAGAATAGCTAGGATTATAGAGTGAGCCACTAGTGCCTATAGAGTGAGCCACTAGTGCCTGGATCCAAGGTAACTTTTTTTTTTTGGGTCCGGTCATGGGCTTGAACTCTGGGCCTGGGCGCTGTCCCTCAGCTCTTCAGCTCAAGGCTAACGCTCTACCACTTGAGCCCCAGCGTCACTTCTGGCTTTTTTCTTTTTGCTTATGTGGTGCTGAGGAATCGAACCCAGGGCCTCAGGCATGCAAGGCAAGCGCTCTACCACTGAGCCACCTTCCCAGCCCCTCCACAGTAACTTTCTATTTAAACCTAAGTAAATAGAAAATTCTAATATAGTTCAGAAACAATCTGAACAGCTATCTTTAGTTGATGAGCAAGTGGCAAGGCTGTCATTTCTTTCAGGTTATTAAAAAAAAAAAAAGACACACTGGGATGGCAGTGGCTCACGCCTGTAATTCTAGCTACTCCAGAGGCTGAGATCTGAGAATCAGAATTCAAAACCATCCTGGGTAAATGAATCTTTTTCTTTTCCTCCCAGTCCTGGGACTTGAACTCAGGCCCTCGGCACTGTCTCTGAGCTTCTTTTTGCTCAAGGATAGCAGTCTGCCACGCAAGCCACAGCACCTCTTCTGGCTTTTTCTGTTTATGTGCTACTGGGGAATCAAACCCAGCACTTCATGCATGCTAGGCAAGCACTCTACCACTAAGCCACATTCCCAGCCTAGGCAGACAAATCTGAGAAACTCTTATCCCCAATTAACCAGCAAAAAGCTGGAAGTGGAGCTGTGGCTCAACTAGTAGAGTGCTAGCCTTGAATGGAAAAAGCCAAGCAAGAGTATAAGGCCCTGAGTTCAAGCCTCAGTACTGGCACAAAAAAAGAAGGAAAGAGGGAAGGAGGGAGGGAGAAAACAAGAATCAGATAGATAAGCCTGATCAGAGTTGCAGACCACCCTGCCCTTCATTCCTGCAGTCACTCCAGTGAAGAACATGCTTACTTGTTATTGGTTGGTCCTGTTGCCAAGACATCAGACTGTAACTTTGGAAAGAACCCTTGCTCATATTTGCCTTGACCAATTTTCATATCCAGTAAATGCGGGTGGATTGCAGTGTGATCCATTTTCATCAGTCTTTGCTCAATTGATTGGGCTACAAGTTAAATTTATAACAAATTAGACATTTCAATGGGAAACCTTCTAAAATAAAGCTTCTCCCCCTTGTGCACCTACAGAAGACTCAACAATCATCCTGACACTCTGAAACAGATTTTTATACAGTTTCTTCAAAAATCAGTAAGAGTAAGAGTGTTCATTTTAAGTAAATATTCGATGGTTATTTTTATGGTATTTTCTGCCTTTGTCAGACATGAGGCAGCAGGATTGAAAAATCTATAATTTAGTATTGAAACAGTTTTCTTAAGTGGGTAATTCAATATCCTTAACAAATTTGTACTTGATTTAAGGGCAACATTAAAGAAAATGATGGAAATACAATATAAAGAAAAGGAAAGCCTGGGCACTGGAGGCTCATGCCTGTAATCATAACTACTCAGGATGCTGAGATCGAAGGACTGGGGTTTGAAGCCAGCACAGATGGAAAACTCTTTGAGACTCTTATCTCCAATTAACCAACAGAAAGTCAAAGAGGAGGTATGTGTCAAGTGATAGAGTGCTATTTTTAGCAAACAAGCTAAGAGACAATGCCCAGACTCTGAGTTCAAGCGCCAGATTGGGGGGGGGGAAGGGAAGAAGTACGTACAATAGCCTTATTACTTTATTTTTTTCTACAAAGACCTATGAAATATTCATGGTTCTTCGTGTGCACAATCGAGGAACTATGTAAAGTTTATTATATTACTTTAGCAACTATCATATACTCATAATAGGAATCATTTAGGAGTGTTTATTAGATCAAGAACAGACAAATAAACATGCATTTCTTACGTGTCCAGAAGAAACTAGCCTTAAATAAAATAAGCCAAAGTCAAAAGACAAGAATTCCTCAACACTTCTATTTTTAAAATACCTTGAATTGGGCCAGGTGCTGGTGGCTCTTACTTGGAATACTAGCTACTAAGAAGCTGAGATCTGAGGATCATGGTTTGAAGCAAACCAAGCAGGAAAGTCCATGAGACTCTTATCTTCAAGTAACTACAAGAAAACCAGAAGTTGCCCTGTGGCTCAAAGTGGCAGAGTGCAAAAAAGCTCAGTTCAAGCCCCACAACTGACAAAACAAAACAAAAACACTTTTTTTTTTTTTGGGTCCGGTCGTGGGGCCTGAACTCTGGGCCTGGGCGCTGTCCCTCAGCTCTTCAGCTCAAGGCTAGCACTCTACCACTTGAGCCACAGCGCCACTTCTGGCTTTTTTCTTTTTGCTTATGTGGTGCTGAGGAATCGAACCCAGGGCCTCAGGCATGCAAGGCAAGCGCTCTACCACTGAGCCAACTTCCCAGCCCAACAAAAACACTTTAAACTGGGAATATTGGAGACTGTCTCAAAGACCCAAGAAAGTGAGCTATTTTTCTGGCAAAACAAAACAAAGCAACTTTAATTTTAAGGGACTTTAATAACTGAATTTTTTTTTAATGTTGGCAATGGGGCTTGGACTTATGGTCTTGCCCTCTCACTTGGCTTTTTCACTCAAGGCTGGTGCTACCACTTGAGCCACACTGCTACTTTGGGCCTTTTGCTAGTTAGTTGGAGAATGTGAGTCTCTTGGAATTTAAACCATGTTGGCTTTAAACCATGATCCATTTGACCTCAGCCTCCTGAGTAGCTAGATTATAGGCATCAACTAAATCACCAGCCCTGCCACTTCCCCTTGAGTATATATTTAAAATTGCTATGAGAATAATCCAGTGATGCTTTCCAGTGAGTATACTGCCAGTGAGTACTGGACATTCAGAAGTGATGGGCTGGGAAGGTAAGGTGCTTGCCTTGCATGTATGAGGCCTTGGGTTCGATTCCTCAGCATCACATAAGCAGAAAAAGCCAGAAGTGCCACTGTGGCTCAAATGGTAGAGCACAGCCTTGAGCTGAAGAGCTGAGGGACAATGCCCAGGCCCAGAGTTCAGGACCCACGACTGGCAAAAAAAAAAAAAAAAAGTAGAAGTGATCAAATGCCTGCCTCAGACATCAGGGCTCTGTTGTTAAGACTGTCAAAGGCTTGTGTCACTATTGGTTTGCAGTAGTCAAGTACAAGGCAAACTCTGTTACTATCCACCTCTCATCTTTCTGCACAGAAATCATGAGGTTCTGGTGATACAGTATATATATACCTGTAACATGTACATACACACTCCATCTTTTTGGGGGGAGATGGGGAGAAGACAATTTTGTCTGATAGAAGAAATCACAGGGGCTGGGAAGGTGGCTCAGTTGTAGAGCGCTTGCCTTGCATGCATGAGGCCCTGGGATTGATTCCTCAGTACCACATAAACAGAAAAAGCCAGAATAGCGCTGTGGCTTAAGTGGTAGAGCGCTAGCCTTGAGCTGAAGAGCTGAGGGACAGCGCCAAGGCCCAGAGTTCAAAACAAAACAAAACAAAAAAAAACACAGTATTATTTGTGAGGAGTATTTACATTCACAACCAACTGCCTTTTTTTTTGTCTTTAAATTTTTTTTTGAAAAACCTGGAAGTGGTGCTGTGGCTCAAGTGGTAGAGTGCTAGCCTTGCGCAACACTGCCACCAGGCGTTGTTGGCTCAGGCCTGTAATCCTAGCTATTCAGGGGCCTAAGATCTGAGGATTGGGGTTCAAAGCCAGCCCAGGCAGGAAAGTCTGTAAAACTATTATCTCCAATAAACAACTCAGAAAACCAGAAATGGCACTGTGACTCAAGTGGTAGAGCCCTTGCCTTGAGCTAAAGAGCTAAGGGACAGCGCCCAGGCTCAGAGTTCAAGCCTCACGACAGAAAGAAAGAAAAGAAGAGAAAAGAAGAGAAGAGAGAAAGAAACTCATTGCCAGGCAATGAGTTCAAGCCCCAGGCTTGAAAAAAAAATTAGCCCTAGGCTAAAAAAAATTCTTTGATAAATTCCTAGGAAATGAAAGCCTTCACCTTATTTAATTTTCATATGGGTTACATCTATAAGGTACTTTTCAAGAGTTTCATATAATTTTTGGAAAGGCAGTGGAAGTATTAAAGTGACTGAGAGGTTGAAAGAAATCAGTTTTAATTGGAAAGACTTTCTTTTTCTTTTTGTTGGTCATGGGGCTTGAACTCTGGGCCTGGGCACTATCCCTGTGCTCTTCACGTCAAGGCAAGCTCTCTACCACTTAAGCCATAGCACCACTTCCAGTTTTCTGATGGTAAGTTGGAGATAAGAGTCCCATGGACTTTCTTGCCCGAGCTGGCTTTGAACCTTGATTCTCAGATCTTAGCCTCCTGAATAGCCAGTTTCATAGGCATGCGCCACCACTTGGAAAGACTTTCTAGAAGCACAGACATTAAGAAACGGGTGCTTAATTCTAGTTTACTAATTCTGTCAGGAGAAATAACATTTGCTCAAAAAGGCATTGTATAATTCATATGGCTTTTTTTTTCTTCTCTGTCAGTCATGGGGCTTGGACTCGGCCTGGGCACTGTCCCTCAACTCTTTAACTCAAGACTAGTGCTCTACCACTTGAGCCACTTCCTGTTTTCTGAGTGGTTAACTGGAGATAAAAGTCTCACGGCCTTCCTGTCTGGGCTGGCTTTTAACCACAATCCTTAGATCTCCACCTCCTGAGTAACTAGGATTATAGGAATGAGCCACGGCACCTGGCTTTTCACCATGGCTTTTAAAGCACTGAAGTCATAATGTTCTTTGCACAGGCACAAATAACTTTTATTTCTTCTACTTCAATCTCTAGAGATACAGAGATTACTGTTACTTTGTGTAGGGCTCTAAGGACTTTTTTTTGTTATTGTTTATTTTTGTTTTGTTTTTGCTGGTCCTGGGGCTTGAACCCAGGGCCTAGGCACTGTCCCTGAGCCAATTTGTGCTCGAGGCTAGTGTTCTACCACTAGAGCCATAGAACCACTTCCAGCTTTTTCTGAGTAGTTTATTGGACATAAGAGTGTCATGGACTTTCCTGCCCTGACTAGCTTTGAACCGAGATCCTTATATCTCAGCTTCATGAGTAGCTAGGATTACAGGGGTGAGTCACCAATGCCGGACTCAAGGACCTGTTCTTTTTTTTTTTTTTTTTTTTGGTCCAGTCGTGGGGCCTGAACTCTGGGCCTGGGCGTTGTCCCTCAGCTCTTCAGCTTAAGGCTAGCGCTCTACCACTTGAGCCACAGCGCCACTTCCGGCTTTTTTCTTTTTGCTTATGTGGTGCTGAGGAATCGAACCCAGGGCCTCAGGCATACAAGGCAAGCGCTCTACCACTGAGCCACCTTCCCAGCCCCAAGGACCTGTTCTTATGTGAGGTATAGTACAGGGTGATGTATCAGAGATCTCAATGGCCACATAAGACACTAATACTTCTTTTCTTAAGGGAAAGAGGAAGGCCAGAAACAAAAGCAGACAGAGTTCAGAGCTCCACATGGCTGAGCTTTCTTTCTCTTTTTCTCTTTGGTGCTGGTCCTGGGGCTTGAACTCAGGGCCTGACCCAGGACTGGCTTGCACACACATAGAAACACATGTGAAGTACTTGGAGCATATAATACTCAGTTGTTGGCTATCAATGATTACTTTATTAAACTGGCAGAGAAGACTAACCAAACTCATGATTCCATGAGGGAAAAATTGGTTGTCAGGGTTGAGGGAACCTCTAACTTGGATACCAGAATCCAGAAACTGAATTTCAGGGAACAAACCACTATAAGGCAAATATAATCTGTTTTAGTTATGTAAATTGGACAGCATCTCAAAGTTAATATTTCTTTTCTTTCTTTTTTTTTTTTTTTGACACAGGGACTAGCCCAGCCTGGCCTGGATCTTGTAATCTTCCTGTTTTACCTCCCAGATGCTGAGATTGCAGGTGTATACCTCTATTCCCAGCTTTAGATTTCCTGGTTTAAATTCATACTTTTTCTTGAATAAAGAAAAAAGAAGTGAGAGGTTAAGAAAAACCCAGTATCAGTAGCAAGACAGGAATTTTTTTCCACTGAAACAAAAAGATTAAGAAAAATCAAAAGCAATTTTCTACTTTACCTCCAATTTATTATGATTTTCTTCTTTTAACTAAGAGGAACATCATAAGAATGGGGATGCACAGAAAAAAAACTATAAACATCACTTCTTTCTCTCTGTGTGTGTGTATGTGTGTGTGTGTGTACTGGTACTAGGACTTGAACTCAGGGCCTCTCACTTTCCCTTGGCTTTTTTGCTAAAGACTGGTGTCCTACTACTTGAGCTACCTTTACTTCTGGCTTTTTGCTAACTAATTGGAGATAATGAGTAGCTACGATTACAAACATGCGCCCCTGGTATCTGGCTAGCACCATAACTTAATACCAGGATTAGGAAGTCTAAAACTGAAAATTAATTCTGTGGTATACAAGGCCAACAATACATAAAAAGGAATGATCACGGGTTTTCATTTTCAAAGGCATGTCAAATGTACCTGCTTCTTTTAAAGTGCTGCATTTCTGATAGATAGACGTCCGCAAGGTAGGTGCCCTTACATTATACAATCTCATCTTCTCAATCCGAGAGTCAAAGACCCGAAGCAAAGGATCTTTTTCTTCCCATTGAGACATAATTTTATTGTCAATAAAGGTGGCAAACATCTGAGTTTCAATGAAGCGTGAAAGAAATGGCAGGTAAGGCTCAGGCTGGTCAGACAGGAAAGAAGCCTGTAATGAGATAATTAGAAAATTATTTTTATAGTAAGACCATCTTAATAATATAGGATGAACCTGAAAATGATGTATTGCTAAGATCATTAAAAAAATCCTAATACATGAATCTGAGTTGAAATTTTTAAAAACTCCTAAAATCCTACTTTTCCTGCCTTCTAAAATTATAGGATTTAGGACACTTATGTCTTTAGCAATGATCTTACCTCTCAAAAAACATATATATATATATTTGTTTGTGTTTGTGTATATATGTGCTGATACTGGGGCTTTGTATTCTTTAACTTTTCTGCTCCAGGCTGGTGTTCTACCACTTGAGCTACACCTCCACTTCTGCAGGTAATAGTCTCACAAACTTTCCTACCCAGAATGGTTTCGAACTCAGATCCTCATCCTCAGCCTCCTGAGTAGGTAGGATTACTGGTGTAAGCCATCAGCACCTGGCTACAATTTTACTTATTATAGTCCAAATAGCCTTTAAAAACAAAATGGGCAAAATATCTGGCTTTTGATGTTCAGATGTTAATGGACTACAAGATTTAACGTCAACAAAAACTTGTTTATAGATCAAGGTCTAGTGTGCCCTAAATATTTTCCTAGTGAAAAATGAGATGGTTACAAGTCTTTTGAAATTGAAAATAAAACTTTCTCTCTTTTTTTGGCGGGGGGGGGGTCCAGTAGTGGGGCCTGAACTCTGGGCCTGGGCGCTGTCCCTCAGCTCTTCAGCTCAAGGCAAGCACTCTACCACTTGAGCCACAGTGCCACTTCCGGCTTTTTTCTTTTTGCTTATGTGGTGCTGAGGAATCGAACCCAGGGCCTCATGCTTGCAAGGCAAGCGCTCTACCACTGAGCCACCTTCCCAACCCATAAAACTTTCTTTCCCTTAGGAGTTACATAAAAAAAAAAAATCTGCTTCTATGGGCTGGGAAGGTAGCTCAGTGGTAGAAGCTTGCCTTGCAAGCATGAGGCCTTGGGTTCGATTCCTCAGCACCACATAAGCAGAAAGAGCTAAAAGTGGTGCTGTGGCTCAAGTGGTAGAGCACTAGCCTTGAGCTGAAGAGCTGAGGGACAGCGCACAGGGCCGGAGTTCAAGCCCACAACAGACAATAAATTGATTAATTAATTAAAAATCCCACTTCTAGTTTGAAACTACATAAAGATTAAGAAGGAAGAAAGGTCCAGGGCTTGATTTAAATTAGAACTTGAATTTCCCCAAGAATAAATCATGAATGTATACAAATTACGTTCAAGTTGGATAAAAATGTTAAAATATTGTTAAGTAAATGAGATGTACCTCAGAGAAGGAGCATATTTGAAGTGATGACATTTTAATCTTAGAGTTTAGTCAAACATAAAGTACATCAACAAGTTCTGATTGTACATCATCATACAGTAACCTCTAGTAGGAAATACCAGGTGAAATCAGAAAACAATCTTTTATGCTGCCTACCTTTATACAATTACTTAATCCTTCTCTGACAGCTGCCCCAAGGTTGTAGATTAACCCCTAGGGATTCCACCTTAGGGAGGTTTTTTTTTTTTTTTTTCTCCAAGACACAAAGAAACTATTTAGTGAAAGTGATAACTCAACCTAACAGCAGCCTCAGGCTTGGGCAGTCACAGCAGCTGGGACAGACTGTACCCAAGGGACCTAAAATAGTTAATGCACATTTCTGAGTGCTTTTGTCTGGTGGAAAGAGGTGGTGGATCAGTGAGGAACATCTGTCAGAAGGATGTTGTGAATGTTGGAAAGAAGCTGCAGTATGACAATCAAAAGCTCCTGTCATTTTCTGTCTTCCGTGTTCCCAAACTTCAGAACACAGTCTTACACTAACAGCAATCAAACCTAATTTACTTTTTATCTTTTTTGGATCCTACAATGATACTACCTTGGCTTCTGAAAATAAACTATTTGCTACCTTTTTTTTTTTGGTCCGGTCATGGGGTCTGAACTCTGCCTGGGCGCTGTCCCTCAGCTCTTCAGCTCAAGGCTAGCACTCTACCACTTGAGCCACAGCACCACTTCCGGCTTTTTTCTTTTTGCTTATGTGGTGTTGAGGAATTGAACCCAGGGCCTCATGCATGCAAGGCAAGCACTCTACCACTGAGCCACCTTCCCAGCCCCTATTTGCTACCTTTTAAAGAGTAAGCTATGACCTTATTATAAGGGAAAGATTGAACATAAGTAAAAAGATTTCTGCTGGGCACTAGTGGCTCACACCTGTATTCCTAGCTACTCAGGAAGATCTGAAGGATCATGGTTCAAAGCCAGCCTGGGCAGGAAAGTCTGTGAGATTCTTATCTCCAATAAACCACTAGAACACCAGAAATGGCACTGTGGCTCAAGTGGTAGAGCACTTGCCTTGAGCTGAAGAGCTAAGGGACAGCACCCAGAGTTCAAACCCCATGACCCCTCCCTCAAAAAAAAAAAAGAAATGAAAGGGCATAGTAGCCAGGTGCTGGTGGCTCATGCCTATAATCTTAACTACTCAGGAGGCTGAGATCTGAGGATCGTGGTTCTAAGCCAGCCTGGGCAAGTAAGTCTGTGAGACTTATTTCCAATTAACCAACAGAAAACTGGAAGTGGAGCTGTGGCTCAAAATGGAAGAGCACTAGCCTTGAACAAGAGAGCTCGGGGAAGGAACCCAGGCCCTGAGTTCAAGTGCCACAGCAGACAAAAAAAGAAAAGAAAAAAGAGAATAGCTTTAAGCCAGATGCTAGTATGCTGCTCAGAAAGCCAAAACATGGAGGATTTTGGTTGGAAACTAGCCTGGGCAATAAAGTTTACAAGATTCCATCTCCAGCTAACCAGTGAAGACTGGGCTGAAGGTGTGGCTCAAGTGGTAGAGAGCTAGTTTTTAGCAAGAAAGCTGAGCAAGCCTCAACATGGTTCAAGCCCTGGCACCTGCAAGGAAGAGGAATAAGCTTCATTTTAGTAGACTTAGACTAATTATAAAAGAAGAGAAAATAAGCCAGGTGCTGTCTCATACCTGTAATACTAGCTACTCAGGATGCTGAGATTTGAGGATTGCGGTTCAAATCCAACCTAGGCAAGAAAGTCTGTGAAATTCTTATTACCAATGAAACACCAAAAAGCTGGAAGTGGAGTTCTGGTTCAAAGTCATAGAGCACTAGCGTGAGCAAAAAAGCTCAGGGACAATGCCCTGAACTGAAGCTCCCAGAATGACACGAGAGAGAGAGAGAGAGAGAGAGAGAGAGAGAGAGAGAGAGAGAGGAGAGAGAGAGGAGAGAGAGAGAGGAGAGAGAGAGAAAGAGAGAGAGAAAGAGAGAGAGAGAGAGAGGGAGAGGGAGGGAGGGAGGTAAATAAGACTTTTACAGGGGCTGGGAAGGTAGCTCAGTAGTAGAGTGCTTGCCTTGCATGCATGAGGCCCTGGGTTCGATTCCTCAGCACCACATAAGCAGAAAAAGCTGGAAGTGGCACTGTGGCTCAAGTGGTAAAGTGCTAGCCTTGAGCTGAGATGCTGAGGGATAGCGCCCAGGCCCAGAGTTCAGGCCTCAAGACTGGGGGGAGAGAGGGGTGTGGTGGTACTTTTACAAGGTTAGAAAACCAGTGAGATTTAAGCATGTCTATAATTTAAGCACTATCAAAGTATAGAGAAAAGGTTATAGCAGTTTGATAACATAAGTCAATGACTAGCCTTATGATTTGCAATCTTGAAAAATTACTATAACTAATGTAAGGGCTGGGAATATAACTTAGTGGTAGAGTGCTTTCCCAGCATGCATGAAGCTCTAGGTTCCATTCCTCAGTACCACATAAACAGAAAAAGCTGGAAGTGGCTTTGTGGTACAAGTGGTAGAATGTTAGCCTTGAGCAAAAGCAGTTAAGAGACAGTGCCTGGCCTAGTTCAAGTCCACGAATGGCAAATTTTTTTTAAAAAAGTTAAAGAAAACTCTCCTAATATAAAATACTGGTAAACAAAAGTTCCTAATAGGATAGAACAGATGAAAAATGTGTATTTTGAACAAAAGCTGTAATAGAGCTAAGTGCCTATGGCCATACCACCCTGAATGCGATGTGCCAGATCTTGTCTGATCTCAGAAGCTAAGCAGGGTTGGGCCTGATTAGTACTTGGATGGGAGGTCTCAAGGCTGGGCAGCAGTGGCTCATGTCTATAATTCTAGCTACTCAAAACAAATCCTAGCCACCTGACAAAGGGCTGAAATCTGAAGACAGGTTGGAAGTCAGCCCAGGCAGATAAGTCAACAGGACTTTTATCTCTAACCATCAAAAAGTTGGGAGTGGTAAAGTGCCAGACTTGAGCCAAAAAGCTCAAGGAGAATGCTCAGGCCCAGAGTTCAAGCTCTAGGGCAAGCGTGTGTACATGCGCGCGCGCACACACACATACACACAGCAGTCTGGCACACGAATATGGAAAGGGAAGGTAGGGCTTTGTTTACTTTGTCAAAGTTCTGCATCTGTTCCCGATTGGTGAGCCAAGATTCCATGTCCTGGGCCGTCTGAATCACAAATGCTTCATAGTCAGCAAACATCTGAGTAAAACGGTTGGCGAAGACCTCTCGCAGCTGTACATTGAGCTGGTAGTCCCGAAGCTCCACCTCTTCACACTGCAGCTTCGAATCCTTTTCTTTTTCACTCAGAGAGGAGGAGAGGTCCATTTTTTCTACAGTCACCCCAGTCCGCTTGGCTAGAGCCTGCAGGCGGGCTATAGTGTCATTGCCCTTCAGGAGCTCATACATGCTGAGGTTATTGGTAGACACATTGCCATTCTTTTTGTCATTGACCAGATCTTTCAGAACTAGATTCTTCAATTTGGTGGCACTCTCACTGCTGTGGAGGCTGCCCTCTGGAGGAATGCCAAATTGAAAAAGAACCTCAGAGAGTTCCTGGATAAAATCAACTTTATTGGGGAACTGTGGAAACTCCTCAGGCAATTCAATAAAATGGTTATCGATATCCACAAAACACAAGTTAGCCTGAAAAAGGAAAAAGAAATACAGAAGTTGAAAGTAAAGGAATTTATGGTCTAAAATATTCTCAACAAATATTATTTAAACAACAACATGGGGCTGGGAATGTGGCTTAGTGGTAGAGTGTTTGCCTAGCAAGAATAAAGCCCTGGGTTTGATTCCTCAGTACCACACAGAAAGAAAAAGCTGGAAGTGCACTGTAGTTCAAGAGGTAGAATGCTAGCCTTGAGCACAGAGAGGCTCAGGACAGAGGCCAGCCCTGAGTTCAAGCCCCAGGCCTGGCAAATTAAAAAAAAAAAGATAATATTGCATTTATCTTTTTTTTTGGTGCCAGTCCTATGGCTTGAACTCAGGGCCTGGGTTCTGACCCTGAGCTTTTGTGCTTACTCAAGCCACAGCTCCAGTTCCAGCTTTCTGGTATTTAACTGGAGTTAAGAGTCTCCTGGGCTTTCCTGCCCTGGCTGGCTTTGAACTGTGATACTCAAGAGCTCAGTCTGGTGAGTAGTTAGGATTACAGGGATGAGCTATCAGCATCCAGCTTCATTTTTCTTTAATTTTTTTTTCTGATCCACTTTTCCCCCCATATTGTCTTTTATGTTAGCCACCTCAAGGCTCAGACTTTTTCTTTTGTGTCAGTACCATATGACTTAAACTCAGGGCCTTGTGCTCTTCTTACTTGGTTTTTATGCTTAAGGCTAGTACTGCTTGAGCCATACCTCCACTTCTGACTGTTTGCTGGTTAACTGGAGAAAATAATCTCATGAACTTTTCTGCTCAGACTGGATTCAAACCATGATCCTTAGATCTCAGCTTCCTGAGTAGCTAGAGTTACAGGCATGAGGCACCAGTATCTAGCTCCATTTTCATTTTGTATGGTATCTTCCTGTTATCCCTCTGCATCCCAGCTTCTCCCATGAGAAGCAAGAATACACTAGGAAACTACTCTACTGACTAAAAGGTCATAGTCAGATAGGAGTCCCAGTGTCACAGCTACTGGCCTGTCTGCATACTTCCACATAGGTCTCCTTTGCTCCGCTACGTCTGCTCAGAAAGAAGAAACAGGAAATACAAACTTGTGCTAGGAAAACTTCCTGAAGAAAGCCAAATCTCACACAACAGAATTATGCAAAGTTGCTTCCACTCTCCTAACATCATTAAATTTAAAAAATTCTATCAGAAGATCCCAAGAAGTACTGTACACATGAATTAAAACTATATTGAACACCTCAAATAAACATGCTGTGAGAACTACATACCATGTTTCTATTGATCAACCCCAACCAAAAGCTATCATGGACTTATAGTCACAAGCAACTCCATGACTGGAGGGTGTAGCTTACTATTAAGAGTACTTACGTAATATGAGCCAGCCTAGTTCAGATTGCAGCACCAGAAGAAATAATCAAGACAAGTTCCCTCAAAAGTAAGAGAACAAAGGACTAAAACTTAACTCTTGTAAGCCTTCCTGTGTCTCTACCTTGAAGGCTCTTACCTGTCATCCTCTTTTTTGATTTACTCCTAATACTTTTTTTTTTTTTTGTCAGTCATGGGGATTGAACTCTGGGCCTGGGTGCTCTCTCTGAACTCTTCAGCTCAAGGCTAGTGCTCTACTGCTTTGAGCCATAGCACCACTTTCAGTTTTTTGGTGGTAAATTAGAGATCATCTCTAGACTTTCCTGCCCAGGCTGGCTTTGAACTACAAACCTCAGATCTCAGCCTCCTGAGTAGCTAGGATTACAGGCATGAGTCATAGGTACCCAACTCTAATACTATTTTAAATCTGAGTTACTGATATTGGTTGTTTTTGTTATTTATCCATTTATTTTTTAAAAAGCTGTTGTCATTGTAGGGGCCATGCTAATCTCTGTATTATTACAATTTTACATTTTAGTATATGTGCACTTTTTTTTAAAAAACTCAGTACTTTGCATTCTGTTCAGCTTTTCCATCAAGACTAGGGCTCTACAACTTCAACAACATCTTTTTTTTTTGGGGGGGGGAGTCTGGTCATGGGGCCTGAACTCTGGGCCTGGGCACTGTCCTTCAGCTCTTCAGCTCAAGGCTAGCGCTCTACCACTTGAGCCACAGTACCACTTCCGGCTTTTTTCTTTTTGCTTATGTGGTGCTGAGGAATCGAACCCAGGGCCTCTGGCATGCAAGGCAAGCGCTCTACCACCGAGCCACCTTCCCAGCTCCTTGAACACCATCTCTGTTTGCAGCTTTCTGCTGGTTAACTGGAGATTACAGTCTCACAAACTTTCCTGCCCTGAGAGGCTTAGAACCATGATCCTAAGATGTCAGCCTCCTGAGTAGCTAGGATTACAGGCATGAGCCACCAGCACCATGCCTGCATTCATTCATTCATGTTGGTCCTAGGGCTTGAACTTAGTGCCTGGGCACTGTGCCTGAGCTTTTATGATCAAGCTAGCACTCTACACTTGAGCCATATTCCACTCTGGCTTTCTGGTGGTTACATGGAAATAAAAATCTCAAGGACTTTACTACCTAGAGTGGATCTGAATCATGACCCTCAAATTTTAGCCACCTGAGTAACAAGGATTACAGCACTGGGCTTCAGTTTGCATTTCTTTTAAAATGAAAACACCTCTATTTGTCTTGATATTTACACAAATTGGTAAATAAAGTCCCAAGGTGATGCCCACTTGAAGGAACCCCCAAAATGAAGACAGGTGCAGGAAGTATTAAAAAAAAAAAAAAGAAACCTATCTAGGCCAGGTTTTCTTCTCAATGCCTGGGGGTTGTTCAGAGGGCATAGCACAGGCAAACATTAAAACATTCCCTTGGGGACTTAAGTGTAGCTCAGTGGTAGAGTCCTTGAACTATTACCTATGAGGCCCTGGATTTGATCCTTAGCACCACATAAAAGGTAACTAAGCCAGATACAGTAGCTCAATCCTGTAATCCTAGCTACTTCAGAGGCAGAAATCAGGGGACTGTGGTTTGAGGCCAGCCATCTTAACCAGTGGGTAGGTGTTGTATGCCTGTTATTCCAGCTATGGGGGGGGGGGGAAGCACACCCTGGTCATACTGGTGTGCTCCTGTCATCTCCATCAACTCAGGGAAACACAAGCAGGAAGACTGCAGCTCAGGTAGCATAGGCTCTAGAACATCAAGACTTTATCTTGACAATAATAACCAGTGCAAAAGGTAGCCAGAAGACTGGCTCAAGTGGTAGAGCGCCTTGCTTAGCAAGTATGAGGTCCCAAGTTAAATACCCAATACTGCTGCTACCCTACCCCCTCAAAAAAAAAAAAAGGTAAATAAGTAATACTGTCACATAAAGAACGACCTGCAGCTGGGAGCCAGTGGCTCACAGCAGTAATCTTAGTTACTCAGAAGGCTGAGATCTGAGTATTGTGGTTTGAAGCCAGCCTGGGCATAAAAGTCCTTGTGAGACTCTTATCTCCAATTAACCACTCAAAAACCAACTGACAAAAGGATAAAAAGAACAAGAAAAAAGAAAGCAAGTAGTTCTGTTTCCATTTTTCTCATTTTTTTTTTTTGGTTTGGTTTTTTGTGTGTGTGTTTTTTTTTTTTTTTTGCCAGTCCTAGGACTCAAATACAGGGCCTGTGTGCTGTTCCTGAGCTTTGTTTTGCTTAAGGTTAGTGCTCTTCTACTTGAGCCACAGTGCCACTTCCAGCATTTTTAGCAGGTAATTGGAGATAAGAGTCTCACAGACTTCTCTACTGGGGATGGCTTCGAACTGTAATCTGTAATCCTCAGATCTCAGCCTCCTAAGTAGCTAAGATTGCAGGTGTGAGGCACTGTGGTCTGGCTTCTGTTTTTTGTTTGGTTTGGTTTTTTTGGTTGTGGGGCTTGAACTCAGGACCTGGACACAATCTCTGAGCTCTTTTGGTCAATGCTAGAACTGTACCACTTTGAGCCACATTACTACTTCTGGCTTTTTCTGAGTAGTTTATTGGAGATAAAGAGTCTCACTGGGATTTTTCTGCCCTGGCTGTCTTTGATCCGAGATCCTCACATCTCAGCCTCCTGAGTAGCTAGGATTATATGAGTGAGCCAGCTACACATCTCTCTTTTTTTTTTTTTTGTCGGTCATGGGGCTTGAACTCTGGGCCTGGGCACTGTCCCTCAGCTCTTCAGCTCAAGGCGAACGCTCTACCACTTGAGCTACAGCGCCACTTCTGGTTTTGTGGTGGTTTATTGGAGATATGAGTCTCACGGTCTCTCCTGCCCGGGCTGGCTTTGAACCGCGATCCTCAGATCTCAGCTTCCTGAATAGCTAGGATTACAGGAGTGAGCCACCAGTGCCCGGCATAAACACCTCTTTACAACTGTTTTTAGAAACCTTTCACCTCCCCCCTTTTTTTTCTGCCAATCCTGAGGATTGAACTCAGGACCAGGGTGTTCTCCCTTAGCTTCTTTGCACAAGGCTGGTACTCTTCCATTTAAGCCACACCTCCACTTCTGGCCTTTTGCTGGTTGGAGATGAGATTCATGGACTTTTCTGCCTGGGCTGGCTTCAAAACTGTGATCCTCAGATCTCTGTCTCTTGAGTAGCCCAGATTATAGGCATGGGCCACAAGCTAAATTCCTTTTTAAA